TGGTGAGGACAGCAGGGTTAGAGGCAACCATCCGTGGGCTCTTTCAGATGAAGACTCATTTCTACTCAGGAAAGAAATTCAACCATAACCAATAAACTAAACACAAATAACTCCTGGCTCCTCCAGCAGCTTTTCCTCCAGAGCATCTATTTTTAGTGAGAAGCATCAATCACCACGGCTTGCTGTCTACAACAGTTCCAACAGGCAAAGTCCTGCTGCACATAGTTGTGCCAACATGGGCACACACACGTCCACCAGAGCCACCATTCCTGCCTCCTGAGCAGAACAACAATGCTCCATGGCTGCAGAACACACCAGAAAAGGAAAACCAGGAACTGATGGGTCTCAGCTATGCCTCAATAATGGCATATATTCCTTTTCTAGAGCTGGGAAAGAGGAGTCACAAGATGGTGAAAGACTATGCCCAAGGCCATGCAGTGAACCAGTGGGAAAGCCAGGAACTATCCTCTGCCACCGCTGTAACCCCTGGCCAAGCACCCTCTGCACAACAGGACAATTATTACTCAGTGACTGACATCAGGGTGTCTTCCTGAGGTTTCCTAACTTGTGGTCATTGGAGAGTTCACATACAAGAGACAAATCCCTGCATTTTACCAGAATAGCTCTCATGACGTTTCACTGGAGATGCACATTGAGCACAAACATCACCCCCCGCTGAGAAAGAGACACATTGTGAATGTAAAGTAAGAAAGCCTCCCTCCCTCCTGTGAGCAACATACAGCACACACAGCTACAGCACAGGCATGACACATACCTACATGCAAGCACTGCACACAAAGAGCACTGGGTGTCCCCTCACAACCAGCACGCCTTAAATACAGCAACCAAAGGATGACAGCAAGATGGCATGAACAACACAGGAGAGTGGCTCCAGGCACAAATTAAAACAAAACCAAAGAAAACTTACATGGATTTGGGGCTATTTCCCTTCACACATTACACACAAGCAGCTGGGCTGCGTACTGATACCTTATCCAAAAAGGAGTATAAGCACATAATGCAAAGCAATGGGGGCAGGAGTCAGGTGAACATGAAGCTCTCAGCAACAGTCAGGTATGGGATGAGAAAGCACCTCTGCATTCCCACAGCAGGGCTCACACTGGGCACATCTTCATTCACTACAAAACAGAAGCGAGTGCTGTGCTGCGGCCATCCTGGGTGAAAATCCAAAGGGAAGGGCAGGAAAGGGCCATCAAGTCAGAGACCTCCGCGCTGCCCCAGCCCCCTTTTAACTTGTGTGAGATTTAACACAGAGGTGGGGAATAGCCAGGGTGAGGGAGGAAGCCTTTCAAAACCCAAAAGGGATCCCTCTTATTAGGCTTAAATAAAGCATTTAGAATCACAGGGATCATCCTGACACACATGCCGTTTCCAAAGCACCCAAAGAGGGTAAAATGCACCTTCCCCATGGCAAGTAGGGGGCCTGAATCTGTAAGACAGCGGCTCGCTGCTCGGGAGGAATGGACTTTTTATGGACTGTGTGGAATAGGGTTGCTATGATACAGTCAGAGGCATTTCCATGAATCCTGTGGCAAATAACACTGAATCCTGCTTAAGCAGACAAACAGCAAGGCAGGTTTCCCATCACCCAGCCTCAGCAAATACACAGGAACAACCACTGAAAGAGATTTTATGCATTATAAAGATGCTATTTGCATACAAATGACTATTTTTTCTTTGGGGCCATACTTTCCAGAGGGTCAGTGCTTGGATTAATTCAGAGGAATGAGCCCTCTTCCCAATCCCTGGGCTTGAGCATCCCCACAAACATGAAGAACTCAATGTTCACTGACAGGGGGAGTTATGGAGCTGACTTACCCCCAGGAACCCTGAAACAACCAGCCACATACATGACCCAAATCGTCCCACAGAGCTCAGGGAGAAAGAAGCCTCCGCTACATGTTTGTGCACTATAAAATACCTACACCCCAAATTTCACAAGCACAGTCACTTGTGAGGACAGGGGATCTACTGGAAGTGACCAGGAAAGCTGTCGCCCCAAACAGCTGCTCATACAGAAGGGCATGGACAGAGCTGCTCCTGAAAGCCTGGAAGGACAGAACTGTTTAACCCAGTGGGAAACAGAGAATCAGAGGTGGAGAACTACACAAACAGGGCTGGGGTAGATGGCTCGAGGCCTCTTTGAAAAGGTGGCCACTGAGGACTGGGGGTGGGAAACACAGACCAGCCCTTGCTCACTGTTCAGCTCATTTCCTCTCTTTCCCTCAGAAGCCCAACACGAAACCTGATACAACAGGAACGGTGCTGCTACAATAACAAAGTTTTCTGCTCCCAACTTTCAGGCTCCTATTGCTCTGCACAAACTGGCTTTCCCAGCCTTTGGGAGGATAACAGGCGAGAGAGTATTAATAAAGTCATGTTAATTCTCTCAAGCATATTCCATCATGGCAAAAACCATGTTCCCAGTGCTTCGCTCCCCGGGAAGCTGAGCACGCTCAGCACCCACGTCCTCCCCATGCATCCACTGCGCAAAGATCCCCTAGGAGCACACACACAGCTCCACCAAGGGACCCGAAGGTCCCATCAGGTCCCAACACACGCAGTTACACACCCTGTGCACACACACACCTCCCAAATATCACCCGAGAAGCGCACACTCCGGATCAAGGAATGCACTTTGCATGCGCTAGAAAACCACGTCGCGTACTGAGTGTTCCTCATAGAAACCTTACTGAAGGGGAAACCTCCATACCAGAGAGCAAACCTTGAGGAAAATTACATCCCATTTTTAACTCGCTCTTTTGTTTGGATTTTCCTCTCATTTTTCCACCCTTATTCCTCCAAATCACTGTGTCGCTTGAAACCATTCCCCTGAAGGGATTGTGTTGGCTGCTGTTTGATTGATTCCCTTTTCCATGGTGATCTTCGCTCATTTATCCTGTTTCCAGGTGATTCTGCAACCTATAAAACTAATGACATACGATAGCTAACAGTGCTCTGTGCTCATTTATTGTATTTCCAGGAGATTCTGCAACCTATAAAACTAATGGTATACGATAGCTAAGAGGAAAACAAAGCAAATTTGAGCTGTTTAACAACCCAAACCATCCTCATCATCAGAGCCATCATTTTTTGTTTAATAAAAAGAATATTCCCTCCATCTCTTCTGAAGCGAAGCCAATGCCTCTTGCACAGAGAGCTACAAGTGAAGAGGGGCAAACAGAGCCAGCAGGCACCGGAGCGTCTTCGCTGCGCTTCTAACGGGTCTTCTACTCATGAACATGGGCTGCTGCCACTAAACCCTTCGTGTCAGCTTTGGGGGCTGACTGTCACTACCCCAGCACACAGGGAAATGTTATTTACAGCTAAAGCCACTTTGAAAGTGCCAGATTTGCAGCATTTAACTGCATTTCCAACCATGCCCCCGATCAAAACCAGCTCCTAAGCTCAGCTATGCATTTAACTTGCAGCAGACAGACTCTCACGTGGCAGTAACTACATGTCTCCAAGTTCCAGCCATGTCTTCATCAATCAGTTCATGATTATTTGGGTTTGCCCCATTAGAGTAGTACATCAAATGAGTAACAGACAGCTGGAATTAGCATGAACTGGTTAAATTATCACACGCAGTATGATGCCAGTGAACATCAGCAAGAGATGGAAACATTTCCAAACTGTCACTATTTTGGTTTGAGCGATTCTGTTTTTTCCAGAGGGGAAAATAAAACATAATACATAAAAAACTTCTCAACATTTCTAACAGAGACATATTTTCAAGAGGAAAAGCCATTTCTCTCTCCAGACATTCCCTTCATATCCTCTCTAAACTTCATGCACTGCCACTGGAAGCCCCCGTCAGCTCCTGAGCAGTAAACACTGCAGTTCTGGTCTCCACAGAAGGACCTCTAACTACTGGACACCTTTTCAGCAAGCCCGTAATATACAACTTGGCACTTCATTTTCAAGAAAATCAATGTAAATAAAGTCACCCAAAGAACCTGTCTCAAAATCTTGTTATCCTTGAGGTGGGCAAAGATTTTTCTTACATACATTACCAAAAATTATATAGATACACACACACACGTACAGATACAGGGAAGGAAAGAAAGGCAAAATAGACTCTCTAGAGAAATCAAAGCAAACCCCAACCCCTCCGTATCTGATGCTTTAGCAAAGAAAAACAAAGCATGCATCCCCCTTTTCCTCTTTGATCCCTCCTTCCCAATGTGCAGAGATAGAAACCACATACAAACAGGAAAAAACCCCACCGGATTACGTTTCAGTCCCCCTCTCATCTTTAAAGAAAGAAGCAGCTACATCAGTGTGGCCGTAGAATTTGGAGGCTTTAGGACTGACTATTGAGAAATTAAGTCAGAGCATCAAGCAACACAGATGAATCAAGTCCAATTTCTCTCCCTTTTTTTTTTCTGTGGCTGAATGTTATTTTAGCAAGGATTTAATCCTCTCACAGGATTTCTCATCTCCCCCCCCCCCAAAAAAAAAACCATCCAGAACTCAATTCAATTGCAAACACCAGCATCTCTCACCTGGCAGCTACATGGTTACTCAGATACTGCACATTAACTGCTTGCTAGAAATATCACACAAAATGACTTATTATTCACTGGAGCCCCCATTTTAAAGGAAGCAAACAACCCAGCCCGTGCTTACCACAGAAAGATATTTTCACTCTGCTTCTAACTAAACCAGGAACAGCTCTATCTCACCAGCACAGAATGATAGAGGAATGGATTACTATTATTTATCACATTTAAAACCCAGGCAAAAGCAGCTACACTTACAGGCATACTTAAAAGACAAGACATGACAAAAGATTTAGGGAGAGATAATATACCAACGTCATACATATCACAGCGAGGCCATGTTGAAGCTCAACGCGTTTCCCCCCTCAGTAAGCAATCTCTCTCTGTCTCTCTCTCTCTCGCCTTTCTCTCGCGCTCTCGCGCTCGCTCTTGCTCTCTTGTTGAATTGCTACTGGTAGTAGTAGTAGCCCCCAACAGCTCAGGAGAAAAAATCCATTAACGAGTGCCCAGGAAGAACATGAGTATGACATTCACAAGCAATAGCACCACGATCACTGCAAAAACGACCACCGTTTGAACATCCAAGGTCATGGTGCAATGCAGAACACTGTAGTGTTCAAGATGTGGGGCTGGTAGATTTGGAGAAGTCAACCTCTGCTCTGTAAGACTGTCCATACATCCACCATGCTAGAATAGAGGAGAAAACTGTTCCTGGTTTTGGTTTTTGCTCGTAATGCTTTGTGGTCTGCTTAGTTTCTCCCCCTATCTGCTTGTCTCTAGCTCATTCTGGAGCCCGCTAAGTGAAGCATCATCACAACCCGTGAGCACTTAAGATGCAAAATCCTTCCTTTAGGAGAAGAAAGCGAGCGCTGTCTGCAAGCTTCTCCCTCGCTCTCTTCCCCCCTCTCTCCCGGTCTCTCTCTTGCTGGCTGGCTTGCTTTTTAATTCGTCAAGCCAGTGCAGATAAGGAGCCTGTGTGAGTGTGACAGCTCTGCAAGCTGCTGCGGCTGCATCTCTCGGAGAGGAGCGAGGCGGACCCTTGCGCATACAAATCAGCTCCGGTGACCAGGCAGTGAAGGGATCCTGGCTGTCACTCAAACGCAGGAGGAAGCGCTGGCTCCATAAATATGCGACTCTTCCGCCCGCCGTGGCAGGGGCACCGCGCACGCAGGTTCTTCCCCTCTGCTCCTGCGGTTGTTCGGGGCCGGGAGCCGGCGGATGCCAACGCTGAGCTCCGGGAAGGCGGCTCCGGACTTTGTGTGCGGCGCAGCTCCCGCCGCTCCGTGCGCAGGGACTCGTCTGTCCGCCTGCGCCCGGCTTCGCGTGGAAAATAAACCCCGGCAAACAGAGCCGGTGCTGGTGGGAGCCTGCTCAGAACAGGAAGGGGAGCAGGAGAGGGGGCAGGAGATGGAGCGGGGAAGAAAGGAACAAAAAGGCAGCCCCTGGTGACTTGGGAATTCGCTGTGATTTAACATGGGAATTCTGCAGGAGAATCGCTTTTTATCTCAGGGTAATACATCATCACATCATAAATCTATCGCGCAGTCTCTAACCTCAGCACTGGGCTTCTCTGTGTTAAGAGTTAAACTGAATGCCTGTTTTACAGAGATGTATAAAAGGGGGGTGGAGGGGACGACAGGACGGGGAAATTCATTCCTTCTCCATTCCTATGGTAAATCCACGCATGCACCCAGGGCTGATGGTCCAGGTGGCAGCTGCTATCCCAAACCTCGCTTTCAGATCCCAGAACCAGCAGTTACCTTAGAGAAGCATCACACACACACAGAGTGATGTGCCCAGCTGGGAAAAGCAAATGATTCCACAAATACAGAAATGGTGCCAGTGCATGTACATTAAGCACCGAATTGTGCATACAGGGGCTGATCACCAGCACCTTCTAGGAAACCTGCTCCTTTGAACACACCCGGGACAGTCACACACAGGCCAACATGCACCAAACAAGGTTGTTCTCCAGGAGCGAACAGCAAGAGTTCAGGAGGAATTGCATGTTAAAACCTGAACAGGCAGGGCCTAGATTTGACTCGCCTTTTTCCCATCATAGCATCCTTACAGGGCACTCGGAGAAGGGACAAGCAGGATTATGCTCCTACTCCAGTCACCATTCAAACCAATGCTAAACCCAGCTGCTTACTGCAAGGTGTATTTCATTTTCCTTCCTCTGCTCTATGGCTTGCTGAGCACTCCCTCAGATGCAGCAGGCTTCTACATCCACCCCACACCACCAAAGGAGAGACAGTGTCTGGTGAGTGAGGGCTGAGTGTCTCAGCCTCCACTGAGGCCCAGTGCTTGTGAAGACCAATGCTCACTCCATGCTCCATCCTCCTCTTTTCTGACTCCCCTGTAGCACATGAGGGCTGTGATGTGCCCACAGACACGGGGTGAGTTGTGTTGAGCACTGTTAAATAAGAACAGTTTGGGTTAACCAGGTAGTTCCTTTTCTTCTCTTTTTCCTTCAGTGTGATAACTGAAAGCCACAGGCTGCCTCTCAGCAACCGAGACCCCTGCTCTGTTCAAGCAGAGAATTTCTCACTCAGGAGGACAGTGAAAGGTGATTTTTTCACCTGTATATTGATAAGCTGCTGTAACAGGCAGGAAGCCCCATTAGCACATATGTCCAGATGATGGATCTGCCTGATCATCAGCATCCACACCTGCATCTCCTATCAAGGACGCATTTTTGGATAGCCAGCCTGTCTAATGCAATTTCAGACTAATCAGAATAGAAAACATAAATTAGATGTGGAGCATTTATTACTGTTACAATCCTTTCCCAAAACAGTGCAGGCAATTTTCCAAAAGCCAAGCCTAACCTCCCACAAATATCTAGGAACTCCCAGTTTCAGTCTCAGTAATAGCAGTGACCTCTCCAAAACATACAACGGGCCCAAATTTAGAGGCATCTTTATGTCCAGTTCATCTTTTCCTCTGAACTGCAACGAGCACAGAAGGAGCCTAGGTTAGACCCAGCCTCAGATCCAGCCTTACTCATACAGGAGGCACAGCAGAGATATTCCCCCTGCCCACAGCAGCCCGGGGGAGTCGGCAGACACCTTCACAGCCACAGCCCATCCCTCGCTTTGATCTGTGCTGTTTGTGTCCTCTTAATGCCAGCAATGGGATGTGACCACAGGGTATCAAGGCAGATTCCGCTGAGCCTTTGCATATAGACAGAGGGAGTGAAAATTAGGCAGGTAAAAGCAGCAGAGGCCTAAGAAATATCCAGAAAAAAGGTGCAGTAGCTACCACACATGCTCAATAGCTACTTCCGTAGCTGAAGCAGAGGATTTCATCACAAGCAATGTGCCTGGCAGGTCTCAGGCAGTCACTCTGCAAGAGCTGAACCAGTCACAGCACAGGGGAGGGAAGAGACTATAAATAGAGGCGGCGGAGCCACCCCCTGCCTGCTGCAGGCAGGAGGTCCCCCCGATCCCGCTCACCTCCATCAGTTCCTGCGTCACCAGCGGCTGTGCCCAGCCCGGCTGCCGGCGCTGCCGCAGCCCCGGGTCCGGTACAGCATCCTTCTCCCTTGTCCTGCTTCACAGCAAACACCCCGAAGGATCGTGGGGTGCCCCATCCACATACATGTGTATGTGAATGAGGGGTGCCCCATCCACATACACGAGAATATCCAGTGAAAGCTGTGTATCAGCCACCAAGAGTGATCAGCACAGATTTACTGCATCAAAGCTTCTTTCTAAATGATAGTCACAGTATTCCCAATAGTACTTGCTGCTTTATGCCATTTGCTATGCCTTCTGCATGTACCAAATGTTAATTCTACTACAAAAATGGATGGTACCTTCTCTTCGAAGCCTCAGAAAGAACACCTACACATCAGGGCTTTATATAAAACCACCACAGGGTTTTTAACTCCATGCAATGCTTTCTGAAAAGTTTCCTCTAACCTTCGGTAAAGCTGAGCTGAGGAACAAGAAAAGATTTGTTCCAGTTACATAAAATACCACCTCCCCTCCCAGTACAGCACATGCCCTGACACTAGAGCAGCTTGCAGGAGCACAGTAATGCAAGATCAGCGCTGGCTTCTTCTGTATCAGAAAACAGATCTGAACCCCAGCACCTCTCCAGCAGCACATTAACTAAGGAAGGAGCCAGGGCTTCCACTAATACATCACTTACACGTCTATGTAGACAAAACCTGTATATATATATACATAGATACGTTTATACCCCAAATAACAGACAAATCAGAAGGGCCCCTACAAGAACATTAATTACAACATGGTAATTTTGAGTCAAGCTTCTGATGCCAACTCTTCAGTCCTTACGTGTGTGCAACACATTGGGCTCAGACTTGTGACCACGACTCCCTCCAATGGATGTCTCCAGCAAGTAGCACAACCCTGAAGCACTACTTCCACCTGAACAAATACAGCTCTACTCAGGAGTGAGGATTTACAATTTGGATGCTTAAAGATCTCACATTCCACCCCCACTGAAAGGGACACCATCCCCACGTTAGCTGGCAGGATCATCCCGCGGTATTGTGGCTGAACAGGGTTTCAGCTCCAATTCCCTGTTCTGCCCCGTGTGGGCAGGAGATGGGAACTGCTCCTCTATTCCCAGTCCCCTCTGCTGGGCACTCACTGACCCCACCAGGCATCACATGGGGTTTGAGTCACAGACTCCATTAGAGATTATAAAACCATCAAATTAAAATCTGGCCAGGAATTAAGGTCAGGGTTTCACAGATTAAAGGCCAGTGGGATTATCATTTGCTAACTTTCCAAACGGGAGGATTTTCTTAAACCAGGACTTGCCTCTTTTTCCCTTCTCTTCACAGCCTGTCTGACATAGAGTCCTCTTTATCCCATCCTTCAGCCAGATGGGGATGCACCAAGCCTATGAGCTGCAGAGCTGCTGCAAAGGACAGTTTTGTTCTGAATAATCTTCATTATCTTGTATGTTCATTGACTGGCTTCACAGGAAGCTTTGAAAATCCCCAAATGCCTAAAGTTCCTTACCCAAACTGAGGTATGGAGAAAGATTTTTTGGCAGTTAAAAGATTATTTTTCCAGTCACCTTGCCTGTCCACTCCATCCTCAACAGGAAAGCTTCCTCGCTGTCCACATCAACCTGGGACTTTGTTACAGTAATTCCCTTTACTTCCTTCTTTCATCCTTTTTCCTTTACGCTACACATCTCCCTTAGAAGCTTTTATTTCACCTCACCCCCTGCCCCAGTCCTCCCTTCCGCAGCAGCTCAAGGGTCCTCTACCATAGAGACACACCAGAAACAAAGCGCTGTGGTGGCTGGAGCAAGCACAGCTCCTTCCAGCATTGTCCACACTAACCACACAACACGAGTTAGCAAATTCACAGCACAGCTAGACAAGAAATGATTCATTTACAGAACTAACAAAAATACAATCACAGAGAGACAAAGAGGGAAGAAGGAGAGGTGGGCAAGAATAAGATGATGATCTCCAAAGCTGCTGAGGCATAAACAGACTTCAGAGGAGGAACTGTATGAGAAAAGGCTGAGTCGAGAGCCTGCAAAGCAGTGAAATGAAAGGGAAGGTGGATGGGGAAAACAAAAATGAGAATTTCACCAAAAGATGGGAAGCATCACCCTGACATCTACACCTTACCCTTGGTAGATACGCTATATACAGATACACATTGCTCAGGGAAGCTGTAGTGGTAAATTCTTACCCATTCCTCACCAGTTCTATTTTTATCTCAGCAAACAAGAAGTGACAGACAACAGATTTATGGCCTCAGTGCAGAGACTGATTTATTTATAACCATTTATTTTAATACTAAAGGCCAGACAACAGTGAAAGGTAGGCCAGGGAGGTTGCCATATGCTTGTACACCAGCCCTGGTTAACCACAACCATGTTCCAGATGAACAGGTCTGAACCCCTTGAGCGAAGGGCAGCAGTGACATGTCAGGTACTAACCTTGCACCACATCTGGAGACCTCAATTAATACTGATTCTTTCTACACACAGAGCCAGCATCTCAGCAGATGGTGCTCTTTCCTCTGCTGAAGAATTAAAGCACTTGCATGATGCTGCGAGGGGGGGAAATAAAGCCAAAACCTTGTCCCTGTTGTTACAAGGTACCCAGATGCTTCTTCCAAGGCACCCTGACTAGGCGTCACCTGCATCCCAGCATGGCTTAGTACATCTCTGCTAGCATCATGCCATGCTGTGCCACACACACACAACTGCAAGGCTCTACCCCAGCACTGATGGAACC